ATTGTTTTGGGTCTCGTGAGGCAGTAGGGGGAGGGGTGGACACTGCTTTAAAATGTAACATTTACGAGTGAATCAAGTACGTAATGAATGAATAAACTTGTTTCGGGTTTATTTTTCAATTGTATCGACAAAGTAACGCTCGCATACGACATCGATACATTCCTAAATTCCAAGTGGAGTGCAATTCTGTTAAAAAGAGTCATTCAAATATTCTATAACAATTATCTTTGATCGATGTAGAAATGTATGGGTTATTCGCAGTTTTGGTAGGAGGAGCCGGAATATTTATTTTTCATACCTCCGATTAAATGACTATTGTTTTTATAACTTATCTTACTCAGACAAAAGTAGAGTCAAGGTTGTTGTACTGTATTTCTTTGAGAATGTCCAAATCGATTTTGATGATATCGACTATATCACGTACTTCACCTTAATTATAGCCTATGTCACCCACGTATGATATCGCTCCCCGTAGGTAAAATAATTTTTAAAATCGTTCCAATATTTTCGGAGACTATTCGATACAAAAAAAAACAAACAATCAAATCTTTCTCCTTTACAATATTAGTGTATATTACATAAAGTGTATTATGAGTTCTTTTTTAGTGTTATTCAAGTAATTCAAAGTGATATATTTTACTGTTTGTCTACTGCATAAAAGTAGGTTAATTACTTTTATTTTCTAACGAGTAAGATAAAAAATAACTATTATCGTTATGTAATTATGATGCAAACATATTTTTCTATTCGCTTGACTATGATATATTATGATGATTAACTTCTGACGTTCCACGAATTTCCGTGCAGAATTATTACAACATAACCAAATTATTTTATCGACACGATACCCTCCTTAGCGAGAGTACGGTTTAAGAGCCCTTTACACGGTACGAGCTGTCGTTACGATCCGTGATTTTGGACCGATCGCAACGACGAATTGATGGTGTATCTCTTAATCGTAAACGATGTACTTGATCGAAGGTGACATCGTAATCGCAAAACAGATCAATAAATATAATGCACATCGTAACGATAGATCGAAGTTGCATGGGTCTTGGCAATGGACGCTGTACGTCAGGATATCGAGCCAATGAAAGTGATTGATTTTGTTTTGCAATTTTTATTTCTAAGCAAGTACCTATAGTTTTGTAAACCTCTTAATTAAAAATATATATGTTTTTTAAATTTCTAACTCTTTGTCCTAATTTGACTGATGTGGTGAGAGATGGAAATTGCCGCGAAATTTTCCTTTCTTAGAAAACAGTCCAAAGCTTCTGGCAGTTTTGGAAGTTTTGCGGAGTGAATATTTTTACCCGACTGCACGACGCAAAGGAGGGTAGTGTGTTTATCAGTCTCTGTATGTATGTTTGTTTCTATGTGGCGTTCTAGAGACCGACTGCGTAGGCCGATTTTGATGATTCTTACGTCAATCGATTCGTCTTAACCTTGCGAGTTTCACTAAAGACATGACAGTAATCAAAATTCACCACAGCAACAACCAGACGCCATATTGTCAAAATGAAAAAAAAAATCGATGAACTATGTCAAGGGGTGTCGTTGAATAGGTATTTTAATCATATTTAGGTTCCTTTTATCATTTTTCTTTTTAAATGATAGTTTAGGATATATAGCGATTTAAAGTTGTTTAACAAAACAATCATTCTCGCTTTAAAGTTTTTATTTAAAGTATAAACAATATACAAACAAAAAAAAACCGAGCAAAAGTATGAAGAACAAATATTTTTGGTAAAAAAAAATTACTTTTATTCATCGCCAAGTCGCCGAGTAAAAAAAAGTTTACCACCAAGCTTGATAGATGAACTCGATAGATAACTAAAAGTATAAAATAAAAATATATAATTTAAAGAAAAACAAAAAACCCGACTGGGTAAAAACTAATTTTAACAAACACATGAAAAAAATAAAAACTAAAAAGAAAGATACAAGCCCAGTATTTTAAAATTCTGTTAAGTAATACTAAATTACTACACAACTGAAATAGTTTTATAATCGATATATACATAAAACAAATCATAAATTCTAATGCAGAACAGAACGACTCACAGTCGGGGCCCATTCAAATTTTACTAATCAAATCTTCCCAAGGGGCCCCGACTATGAGTCGTTCGTCTAAACCTATGATCGTTGTTGTTAAGCGACTTTCGCAAGGGTTGATCACAGAATAGGTGACCAAAAAATTATTATCTCTAGGTACTCCTTAGTTCGGCAGGCACGTTAAGCCGTTGGTGCCAGCTGCATTTCCAGTCATTAATACCTATCCTCCAATCCGCGTTGGATCCGTGTGGATTGTCATAGTCCATCCTCCTGAATGATCTATAAAGAAGGCGTAAGCCCCTGCCGTTTTTGAGCCCCTTTTTAGTAGAATTGTTATCACATATATTTTAAATAGGGTAGCCTGGGTACGAACAACTCTCAATATCATCGAAACTATGAATAGTAGGTGAGGGGCAAAAAGGGAAGGGCACGCGGGTAACAAGCCTCGATACGATCGCCAATGTAGAGTCACCTTTCGCGCGGTAATAACGCTTACAAGGAGGCCCCTTGTGTTTTGTCAACCAAAAGTAAGTATTTCTGGGGTATTTCTTTATTATATAGCTTAAATATTAATATGATTATCATATTATGAAATGTTCTTATGTAATCGTCGTATTTTTAAGATTATAATAAGCTCATTAATTTTTGTATAAGTTACGCTACCTCATCCTTTTGATAGACTTATTATCAAAATGGGAGGGTGGGGAGGGTTGTAACGATTTCCATAGGGACGGTTGTAACATTAATTTTATAATATTTTTGTATTGTGGATGCCTGGGAAACGCATAAAAAAGACTTCGGGAGGTGGAAGTGACATTTTGTCGTACAAGAACACTTATGATAAAGTTAAATTAGGGGCTTATTTAAAGCAAGCTGCAGAGATGTACGGCGTTAACTATGTATCTCTTTTGAGATACAAGCGAAATCCGTATGCAGTTAATTAAGATAACCAAGAACAGGTTGCACATGCGTTAGATATGTAGCTTAGCATGGGATATGTAGCTCATAATTGAGTTTATAGCAAAAACCAAGAGCTGTATTATTGCCTTCTTTGCCTAGAGACTTATGACTTATTTTGCTACTCGGTTTGGAGAGAGTTGGATTCAGTTTCAAGGAGGCTGCAAACAATGGTCTCACGTAGCTTGTACTGATAGGAGTATATATTATATATGTCATAATTGCGATGAGTTTGATTTAATATAGAATAAAAAAAACTATTGTATAAACTCAGATATTGTTGTCTAACTTTGATTAATTATTATTTAAAAAGACTATTTAAATGTACCTTAAATTTTGTTATTTTGTATATAGTGCATTTAGTTATGTTTTATGAATAAAACTGATTTATTACGTGGGATTTATTATTTCTTAGCGTTACAACCGCCCTTGGTGGCACACACTCTTTAAAACGGCTTATTCCTGCTAAACTGTGTTACCTAAGCTATTGGTTTTGATATAAGTTTAAAGACAAATAAATATACTTTCATTTCAAAAAAATTGTTACAACCATATCCAGACTACCCTACTACGATATCTTCAAGATATCTTAATACAATGTCTCCCTAACATATCACTAGTAATAATAATAAAGTATTTATTTTGCCAACAATATTTATTTAGTGACAAATAAATAATTAAATAGAACTTCAGATAGATAGTACAATTGCAAAATGCAAGCAGTTGAGATTCTATTGACATATAAAAAACGTCAGTTTCTTTTTGTTTGGTGTATTGTTAAAGTCAGTTATTGTTTGTATAACTTATAGGTATTTTAAGTTTTTCTCAAAAATATTGATTTTTTGTCAGATAGCTAAATAAATGGTTAACGGAAGAGGGATTTTTTTTTATGGGATAGGGTGCAGACGAGCAGACGGATCACCTGATGGTAAGTGATTACCGTCGCCCATGGACACCTGCAACACCAGAGTAAAGTATTTAAAGTATTTATTTCTCAATAAGAAAGTCAAACCAACATTAAAATAACTATATCGCTTAAACTTCCAAAACTTCCCATATTTCGGAAGTTTTTAGGTAAATTTCCCGAAACTTTCTTGAAATCTTCCAATGTTCCCAAAACTTTCGGCAATTTTCAACACCAGTTCTGGTATCTCTAAAAGAAATAAAACTCGCAACATTTTTATTTCAACTTTTAGATTCATATTTAAAAATTATCGCAAGCAACATACTTGAAAACACCTTTGACTATCATTGTTGTCAATTTTACCCTAAGCAACATTGTATAAGAATTTGAAGTACTAATTCAAAACTTAATATATACATTTGAAACAATTACTAAATGCCTGTACAGCATTTGGTGCAATTTTCAAAAACCTCCTGTAATATGCACAATATGGCGATTACGGTGCTCTTCCTGAAAAGGCTCAATAAGTCAAATTTCCCCAATTTATTGAGATGTATTTGAGTAGCTCGGTGGCGTAGTGAATAAGCGCCGCGGCCCGCGATCGTTGTCGTTAAGCAACTTTCACTAGGGTCGGTCACGGGATGGGTGACCAAAAAATTATTATCTCGAGCTACTCCGTGCTTCGGAAGGCACGTTAAGCCGTTGGTCCCGGCTGCATTTGCAGTCGTTAATACCCTCCAATCCGCATTGGGCCAGCGTGGAGGGTCTTGGCCGGATGGGCCATAACCATCCATAAGGAAGGCCTGAGCCCCTGCAGTGGGGACGTAAAAGGGCTGATGATGATGATGATGATTGAGATGAAATCTACTCTTAATTCGAAAAGGTTTATAAACAAATTTATCAGTTAATAGGTGGTCACAACGTCCGATCGTTTCGATCAAACCTATGTTGATCTCAAGACGATGCGATGAATCGTTAACATTTCAAAAGATACAGCGTAACGACGGATCGTACCGTATATGGCGTCCTTTATATGGGAAATTGGCGAGCCTTGTAGTGGTTATACAAGTGCAGCGGGCCGCGCAGTCGATCGGCGCGCGCGCACTTCGTAACACTTGGTAACAGTCGGTTTATGTTTCGTGCGAAAATACGTGTATTTTTTACTTTTCACGAACACACGGAGTTTGTTCAAAGTTTAGTGTAACTGTGGATTATAGATGAAAAGGTATGTAAACATTTGTATTTGAATTTATTATTATTGTGAAAGTAAAAAATCTAGTACCTACACATATTCTTTAAAGTTTTTTATTTTATTGCTTACTATAGTTACCATTATACTTATGTTATAAAGAGCATAGATTGAATTGTTTGTTAGCTTGTTTCTATGCATCGGTGAGGGTCCGAAAATACTGAACCGATTAATTTATTTATTCATAAAAATACACCAGCGACCAAATAACATTGCACTAATTATAATAAGATCGTGGACTAGTTTTAATAATGTGCCGTTATAGGTGTATACAGCATTCAACAGATTAACAACAGAAATAGAAATTGGTCAAATCTAAAATAATTAATAATGACAAAAATAAAATCAAACCAATACTATTTAAAATATTCATAAATATAAATTAATTTAATATAGTATAAAGTAACAGTGACTGATATAGGGTAGATTATTAAAATATTACATAATTTTAATCAAAAACAGAAGAAATTATTGCCATACACTTCCTTTTAAATGTATTTTCGGAGTCGCTGAAGATGTCAATGTTAGAATTGTTAACATTGTTGTAAGCCCGCATAGATTGGTTCAGTAGTGCGAACTTTCCTAAATTTGTGTTTACTAAAAGGTATAACTAAAACATATTTTTAAAGATTGTCTAGGAATATCGTATGGAACATTGAGAGTAACTTTTTGTAACAGATCCTAGGAGTTAATATTACTATGTACGAGTTTATGCAAAGTTAAAATATCTAAAATTTTCGTCTGTCTGCAAGTGAATTTATCCCCAAGTGTAAAAGTCAGGTATCATAGTCGGACCTGATCGATAGGCAACGTAGCGAGTAAAATTTATTTGAATTCTTTAAACATGAATTTTATAACTAGGATTCCATATGGGTGAAGCGTATTTTAAAATACTTCGAACCATCATATATATTTAAAATCTCCACAGTTGCGCTTTAAAAAACCTAGTATTTTCTAGGCCACATGATACCATGCTGACAATATGGTGCATGAAATTTAATTTACTGTCTAAAATTACGCCAAGGTCACGAGTCTTATTAGAATTCTGTAAGACCTCACTCGAAATGGTATAATTTGCTGGCAAAGTAAACCACTTTGCCAGCTATTTCTCCTAAATTGTAAATATGTGCATTTTTGAGGGTTCAGTTTCATTTTGTTTATTATGCATCAATTTTCAACAGAATCTATGTTCTTTTGCAACAGTGTCATATCGTTATGACTAGATACAGATCTATATATTTATGAGTCATTCGAAAAAATAGAAATTTGACTGTATTTAATGGATTTTGAAATATCATTTATTAACAATAGGAAAAGAAACGGCCCAATTAGTGATCCTTGGGGTGCACCAGAATTAATCTCATAGTCATGCGACTTGTAACCATAGGCAATAACACTATAAATTCTAGCCCTAAGGTAGGAGCTAAGCCAAAGCAACAGACAGCCATGAATGCCATATGATTCGAGTTTAGTTAATAGCAAATCACAATCAACTTTATCGAATGCGCTTGAAAAATGGTATATATTGCATGCACCCGGTTGCGGTTAAGCCTTGCTATATTGGTAACATAGTCCATTAAATTACTAATTGTCTATGTTTTCCTGCTAAGTCCCTATTCATCATCATCATCACCAGCCCTTTTACGTCTCCACTGCAGGGGCTCAGGCTTTCCTTATGGATGGTTAAGGAGGATGGGCCATGACCCTCCACGCTGACCCAATGCGGATTGGAGGGTATTAATGACTGCAAATGCAGCCGGGACCAACGGCTTAACGTGCCTTCTGAAGCACGGAGTAGCTCGAGATAATAATTTTTTGGTCATACATCCCGTGACCAACCCTTGCGAAAGTTGCTTAACGACAACGATCGCGGGCCGCGGCGCTTATTCACTACGCCACCGAGCTACAAGTCCCTATTGTGCTTCCGTAATTATATTTTTTGATTAACTCGTTATGACCGGATATATAATACATTCAAATACTTTAGTAAACAGACTTATAAAGGAAATTAGTCTATAGTTTTGGAAATTTTCTTTACAACCTTTCTTGCAAATAGGAATAATATTTTCCATACAGTTAGGAATATGCCAGACGACATTGATTTTTCAAAGATAAACTTCAAAGGAAACATTAAATTTTTTAACATCATTTTAATAAAAATAGGAGGGATACCATCTGGGCCAGTTCCCTTCCTATATCTAATGTTTTCATAATTTTACGTTCTGTGACCTCTATTTGACCTAGTGAATATTGAGGAAATCTATCAACAAAGGATATATAGCGACAGTAGTGATGGTGGGGAATTACCAGGCTGGGCGTAAATAGCTGAGAAATGTTTGGCAAATAGGTTACATATATAAAGCAATCTTTTGCTCTGGAATGCCACAACTAGAACTACGTTGCCGCTGGATAAGCTGCGGAATAAAACTCCAGAACATCTTTGGATTCTCCCATATTGATTTTTCTACTCCGTCCATATAATTCTAGTCGTTTTTATTGATTTATCCATTCATTGCACTGCAAAAGATCCAAACGTTGCCTTAAATAAACCACAATATGACTGCAATAGTTCAAATTTGTGGTGCCATGAATCGGGTTTGGTTTTAAACGCAACCAAAACCAAATTAATACACACAAGATCAGCTCTTATGCGAGATAAAAACATATTCAAAAATCTTATTGCTCATGATAACGGTTGCCTTCAGAAAACCTATTTAGAAAAACGATATATAGTCTTATAATGTGTTACCTAAATTTAATAACTATTATGGAAAAAGAAATTGGAAATATTTGTTACCGGAGATATTGAATGAAATGACTGATGATTCTGTATCTTATTATGTGAATAAGCGTAATTATAAACAATATCTGAAAAAATACTTTCTTGATAAAAGTAAGAATGATTACATTATATAAAATTATGTTCTCATCTATTGCTAAGTAAGATTAACTTGCTTGATATACCTAATGTCAATTGCATTGTTAAATAATAAGCAATTTGCTTTAAACTACGTTCAGCTTTTTAACCATTGCAAAGTATTACTCGTCTAAGATCTCTATTTATACCAGTTTCTCAAGGATGAATATTTTAATGGGTTTGTAAATAAGGCGGTTGCACACGATAATTTGTCGCGTTCGATTACTTGCGGAAAACTAGTAATAACAAGTGCGCAGAACACATAGGCACTCGCACTGTGAAATACTTGTTACCCCGAATCATATATAAATTAGATAAAAGTTTCGATAATCAATTAACGAAAAAAATATAAAAAGCAAATTATAAACACTACTTCTGTGTATGCTGAATGGCAACAACCAAATAATTTTGTAATACCTTATATAATATAGCGAACTATGGCACATAGATTAAAATTTTTGTGGTTTGTAATGTGCTTGGAAATGTAAATATTATTAATATTATTAATTGTGAAATATTTTTGATAATAAATATATTTAAAAAATTAAAAAATTTGAGTCACATACCGAAACCAAAGATTAAATACGCCTACATAGCTTTTAGTCAAGGCTATACCTAAGAATTTTATATATTTTATATTTTCGATGTATCTACTTCTACTTCTACTACTCCTTTACTCCTATCAATTTAATTACGTTATGGGTAAACCAAGCGGTAAGTTTTAGATTACCGGGTTTTGTTTTTGGGATTGTTTCGTCTATTATTTTATACAAAATTTCATAAAATCTCAAAACTATCACATTAACATCCTGCAGTTCACATAGTTCAGCATTCCAGTTAATCTATCTTAATCTCAAATTTACCTGCGTATCGTCAGCCTTTTTTAAGTTATGTGTGGCAAATGTTCTACTTCTCAATACTGAAGTGCAATCTACATTGACAACAATTATATCTCCAAAACGGGATGATGTATATCCAGTATACTTACAGGGCATGGACATTCAGAATTAACAATATTTTTAAGAATACTTTAATCAAATTCAAAATATAATTTTTATGTTTAAATATCCAAGGACTTGGTAAACTACAAAGTAGTTAGGGATTCGCAACACTTACGGCCAATATCTGAATTGAGAAAAGCACGAAATCTCAACTAATAATTCTCAATAACTTAAGTTTTTAAGTTTGATATGGTAAAAGTTATATTACCAACTGATCATTGAAAAATTATAAATCGGTAATGAAAACCTGTTTAAATAGCGTTTAAAATGGCTTAAGCATGGTTTGAGACGTGCTCAACTTCATACTCTCAATTCAGAAACTGTGTGTTAATCTGCTTAGCTGGAGCAGCTTACTTTCAGGTATCCCGTTAATTTAAAAATTTGTTTCGTGAGAGTATTGTTCCATCAGATTCAATCAATTGGTTCCCCAATTCTGGTTGTTTATTGATGATAATTGTTTCGTAAAACTGCTTAGTTATTCTTGAGAATCTTTTAAGTCGGTTTTTATGCGGTCATAATCATCACTAATGAAATGCCTACTATTTAGAAGTTCACGTATTGATGCCAGTTCACTTTTTATTTACTTGAATTCTCTAGAAAAATAAGACTTAACCGCTGACTAACTGAAAGTGCAATGAGAAACGTGTCTAGTCTTAACTGAGTCACGAACGGAAATGTGCGTGGGAGAAGTCCAGGGAAAATAGCTAATACTTAAAACTATGCATATTACCAGGTTGAAGATGCATTGCTATTGTAGTGCATATGGAGTACTCTAAGTTAATACGTATTTCTCTCTATCATTTCTCTTTGGGCGTTAACAAAATAAATTATATTTACAATTTGTTACTCAATATACAGCTCATCTATTATTATGCATAGGACAGTGTTTTTTTTGTTAAGGTAAGAACGAAGTAGTCAACATTTTTTTTTTCATTCATCAATTAAAACTAATTTCGCTTTGTAAAAAGTTAATCAACAGTTAGGTATGAATGAAATTAAAGAGTTCTTGTAAAAAAGAGAGAAATACCAGCCGAAATATGAAAAAATAAATTAAATGT